TGTTTTATTTATTTCTAGGAGAGAGAGAGAGAGACAGCGTGAGCAAGGGAGGGTCAGAGAGAGAGGGAATCACAGACTCCGAAATAGGCTCCAGGCTCTGAGCTGGCAGTCAGCACAGAGTCCGACGCGGGGCTCGAACCCACGAACCGCGAGATCATGACCTAAGCGAAAGTCAGACGCTTAACCGACTAAGCCACCCAGGCGCCCCAAGAGTACACTCATCTTGATGAGCAGTGAGGAATGTACAGAATTGTTGAATTATTACATTGTACTCCTGAAACTAATAGGATACTGTATATTAACTATACTGGAATTAAAATTAAAAAACTTTTTATTTTTATTTTTGTTAATGGCAATCTGTTATCAGTAATAATGACTTCCTGAAAGCTCAGATGATGATCAGCATTTTTTTAGCAATAGTTATTTTTTAAGTAAGAGATGTACATTGTTTTTTAGACATAATGCTATTGCGTACTTAATAGAATACAGTATGGTGTAAACATAACTTTTATATGCATTGTGAAACCAAAAAGTTCATTTGACTTGCTGTATTGTAGTATATTTTATTGTGATGGTTCGGAATTGAACCTGTAAGATCTCTAAAGTCTTCCTAAATAGATCTAAAGAGAGAAGCTGAGACCAATGAAAAGTAGGTGACTTTAGTACTTCACTTACAATAATGGCTAATGAATCTAGACATAAAAATCAATAAAGAAATAGCTGACTTGAACAACACGATAGATCAATTGGATCTAACAGACATATATAGAACCCTCCATCTATCAAAAGAAAACACATTTTGTCAAGAATACACATTACTCTCCAGGATAAATCATATGTTAGGTTGCAAAACAAACAGAATGATTTCAGTCTTCTTAAATTTGTTAATGAGTATTTTTTCTGAACTATAAATCAACACAGCAAGAAAATAGGAAAATTCACAAAAAATGTGGAAACTAAATAGAACACAGGTGAATAAACACTGGGTCAGAAAGGAAAAGTAATCTACAAAGTATCTGAGTCAAGCAAAAGCAAAAACCCAATGTACCGGGTTTTCCCCTGGGTAGGGAAAAGCACATATTTTGGAAGAATTTGGAAGCATGCTGGGAGTGTCTAACCACAGCAACCCCCCTTGGGCATAAGGTTCCTCCTAAGAATGTAATAGACAATGCTTACTTCCCCTCAAGTTTCCCTCAGGAATTTGATAAAAGATCTAACTAAAAATAAGTAGACCATAAAACATATGACCCACAAGGAATGATATGACCACAGACCACCCCTCATACAATGGAATAGAGCCAATCGGGAATGGACAACTCAGCATCTAGAGTTATCAAGCCAATATGGGTAGAACCTGAGAAGGGTTAAGGGGGAAGTATGGGGGGTGGGGATACACAAAGTTCATTGCCTATGGTCTGCAGGCATTCACTTTTGAATGCACCCTCTCTGTAAAGAGCTTTCATACTATTTTCCTTTCTGCTCTTATACTCGAATAAACTTTTGCTTGCTGCTCATTTTGTGTCCACCTCTTCATTCCTGAAGTGGCGAGACAACAAACCCCAGGTACTGAGGTAAAAAAAAATCCTGCAATAGCATCACAGTTCCAGACTTCAAAATATACTACACAAAACTAGAATAGTGAAAACATTAAGGTACTGGCATAAAAACAGGCATCTAGACCAATGGAGTAGTACAGAGGTCACAGAAATATATCCATACGTCTATAGTTAACTGGTCCTAAACAATGGTGTCAAGAATACACAATGGAAATAGAACAGTTTCTTCAATAATGGTGCTGGGAAAACTGGATAGCCACAAACAGAAGAATGAAAGTGGATTCTTATCTTAAACTACATATAAAAGTAAACTCAAAATGGATTAAAGACCTAAACATAAGACCTGAAAATCATAAAACTCCTAGAAGAAAACAGAGAGAAAGCTCCCTGACATCAGTGTTGGCAATTGTTTATTGGATATGATACCAGAAGCACAAGTAACAAAAGTTACAAGTGAGACTACATCAAACTAAAAAAACCTCTGGACAGCAAAAGAAATGAGTAAAAAGACAAACAATGGAATGGGAGAAAATCCTCAAAAATAATAATAATAATGAGTATATACCCAACATGTATAAGGAAGTCATATAATTCAAGAGAAAAAAGAAAAGATTAAAATAATGGGCAAAGGACCTGAACTGACATATCTCAAAAGAAATCATACAAAGGATATGAAAATGTGCTCAACATCACTAATTATTAACCACAAATCAAAACCACAGTGAGGTATCACGTATTAGAAATGGTTATTATCAAAAAGACAAAAGATAACAAATGTTAGATGTAAAGAAAACATAACTCTTGTACACTGTTGCTGGGAATGTAATTGGTGCAGCTGGTATGGAAAACAGTATGATTGTTTCTCAAAAAACTAAAAACAGGACTACTCTAGGGGCAGCTGGCTGGCTCAGTTGGTAGAGCATATGACTCTTGATCTTGGGGTTGTAAGTTCAAGCCTAATGTTGGGTGTTGAGATTACTTGAAATCTTAAAAAACAAAACCAAAAAACTACCTGATAATTCAGCAATTTCATGTCTGGGTATATATCCAAAGGAAATGAAATCAGGGTCTCAAAGAGATATCTGCACCCCCATGTGCACTGCTGCTTTATTCACAATAGCTAAGACACAATCTAAATGTCTGCTGATGGATAAATGACTAAAGATGTATGTATACATGCATATACACACAGACACATACACACACAACACACATAGAACATTATTTAGCCAAAAAGGGAAGGAAATCTTGACATTTGCCCCAACATGGATAAACCTTGAGGGCATTGTGCTAAATGAAATAAACCAGACACAGAAAGACAAATATTGTTTCAGTGGACCTAAAAGAGTCAAATTCATAGAAAAAGTGTTCAATGGTGGTTTCCAGGGGCTGGGAAGATGAAGAATCGGGAGATGTTGGTCAAGGGGTATGAAGTTAAGTTATGCAAGATGAATAAATTGTGGGGATCTAATTACAGCAATCTAAGTATAATTAATAAGACTGTATTGTTTACTTGAAATCTGCTTAGAGGGCAGATTTTAAGTGTTTTCACCACAAAGGAAACAAAGGTAACTAGGTTAAGTCATGGATATGTTAATTAGTCTGATTGTGGCAACTGATTCACAATAGGTACATATATCAAAACATTAAGTTGTACACACCTTAAATATACAATTTTTATTTGTTATTATATTATCAGTAAAGATGGAAAAAATACACAAAAGCCATAACCAGACATTTTCCTACTTAAGGATACATAGATGAAATATTTAACATCACTAGCCATTAAGGAAATACGAATTAAGACCATGATAAGCTACCACTAGACACTCATTACAACTACTAATACAAAAAATAGTGATGATACTAAGTACTAGGAAAAATAGGGAGTAACTGGATTTCTCATACACTGCTGGTGGAAACACAAAATAGTATACCCATTCTAAAAAATAGTTTGGTAGTTTGCTAACGAGTGAAACATATACTTACCATACAACCCCAATCATACTCCTAAGCCATTTATCCCAGAGAGAAAGTAATTTATGTTCACACAAAAACTTGAACATGAATGTTCAGAGCAGCTTTATTTATAATAGCCCCAAATTAGAAACAACCAAAATATCTTTCAATATGAGAATGGCTAAATATACTATGTTATATTCATACGGTGGAATACTATGTAGATGCAGAGAATTTCAGTAGTTGGTAGAGATTAGGGATGGTGTGGGAAAGAAGATGGGTATGATTATAAAGAAGCAGAAGGAGAAAAATCTTTGTGGTGATAGGACAGTTCTGTATCTTGATTGTTGTGGTGTTTACAAAAATCTCTAATTGTGATAAAAGGGCACAAAGCTATTTATACACACTGGACCAATGTTTAATTACTGGTGTTGATATATTACCGTTATCTAAGATTTGAGCATTGGGGGAAATGTGCAAAATATAAAATTGTGCCAATCACTGTCATATAAAAAGGTTTTTAAAAAGTATATGTAAAAACCAAAAATAATCAGAAAACATTTGCTTAAGAAGGCAAGACAAAGATAGAGGAAAAAAGTTTGTAAAACATATATTAGATAAAGGTCTGAACTTCTGAGAAGATGAAAAAACCCAAAAAACTTAAAAAAAATGAGCTGAAGATGTGATTACTTCATTAAAGGAGATTATTATTGGTAAAAAAGCACATGAAAAGAGGCTTAATAAAGTTAGTCACCAGAGAAACACAAATTAAAATGCCATAATAACTAGATACTAATTAGAATGGTTAAAAATAGTAAGACTTACCAAACCAAATGTTGGTCACCAAAGAGCAGTGAGAACACTCAGACATTGCTTATATGCATGAAAAACAGGAGAGCCAACTTGGAAACATTTGGCAGTTTCTTATGAAGTAATATATAAACTTCTCAGAAAACCCAGCAAATCTAATCCTAGGTATTTACACAAGGGAAATGAAAACATATTGAAACAAAGACTTATATGTAAATGTTCATAACAGCTTGAGTCATAATAGCCCAGAACTGGAAAAAAACCCAACCAAAAGGATGACACAGATCCATGAGTCTCCAAAGCAGTATGCTAAATGAAAGAAGCTAGACAAAAGTGACTATATACTTTATGATTCCATTTATATAAAATTTGAGAAAAGGCAAAGTGCTTGCAATAGAAAGCATATCAGTGATAGCTGGGGGTCTGAGAGGTAGGGATTGAGGTAGGTGACTCAACGCAAAAGGGTACAAGGATCTTTTAGGGATGATGGAAACATTCCAAATTATGAGTCCTATGATGAAAATGTACTATGTAATTTTTCACAACTCACTGACGTGTACACTCAAAAGTCCTGAGTTTTATTTTCTATTAAACACACCTCAGCAAAAGTGATTAATATTTTAAAAAGGAAAAAGAAAAAAGCTGACAGGGAGTCACATGGTAAGGTGTGCTTACCCACTGAGACCAGGTGGCTGTAGTTCTCCAGCATCACATCTCTGTACAGAGTCCTCTGAGCAGAGTCCATTTGCCGCCACTCCTCCTGAGTGAACTCCACAGTCACGTCCTTGAATGACACTGATGCCTGTTAACAGCACAATTCTAATCAATCTGTCCAGAATCAGGGACATGGAAAAAACTTTTGGAAACTAAGTCTTATTATGTTTACTGTTTAGAGTTTAAAGCAAAATGCTATGAAGGATATGATTATCATGGCCCTAACTCAGTCTTTTTTTTTTTTTTTTTTTAAATGTTTTATTTATTTCTAGGAGAGAGAGAGAGACAGCGTGAGCAGGGGAGGGTCAGAGAGAGAGGGAGTCACAGACTGAAACAGGCTCCAGGCTCCGAGCTGGCAGTCAGCACAGAGCCCGACGCGGGGCCCGAACCCACAAACCGCGAGACCATGACCTAAGCGAAAGTCGGACGCTTAACCAACTAAGCCACCCAGGCGCCCCCCTAACTCAGTCTTATATTTTGGGGATATGCACATGATTAGTAAAAAAAATATATTCTCGTGCTCGGATTTATTTATATTTGCTTTTTTTAAAAGTTTATTTTGAGAGAGAGAGAAAAAGAGAACGAACATGTGCACGCACAGGTAAGAGGCAGAGAGAGAGAGAGAGAGAGAGAGGGAAAGAGAGAATCCCAAGGAGGCTCTGCTGTCAGCATAGAGCGTGACACAGGGCTTGAACTCACAAACCAAGAAATCATGACCTAAGCTGAAATCAAGAATCAGAGACTTAACTGACTGAGCCATCCATGCTCCCTTATTTATATTTACTTTTAATTTACATACATATATTGTCAGTTAATATAATAAGAAAGCTTAATGTCTTATTTTTTAGGTAAAGTTATTACAAATAGGATTCCTGTATACATTTCCCATTCACAAACAGATTACACTTAGCAATCTGTACAGTATACACATCCCAAGCTGGAGGAGATCTGTGCTGGGGTAATAGAGAACCAATGAAGAGATACATGTAAGACTGGGGAAGTATTTATACACCACCAGATTCATGTTTCAGGAGTAATGCTTTAGAACAGGATTCCTTCAACCTGGCACTACCAACACTGTGGACCAGATAATGCTATTTTTGTGGAAGACTGTCCTGTGTATTTTAGGATTTTAGTCTCCTACTGATTAGATGCCAGCAACATCCTCAGTTGTAACAATCAAAAATACCTCCAAACATTGCTAAATGTCTTCTGGGGAGCAAAATCGACACCAGTTATGAACCACTGATCAATATTAACAGTGGACAATGTCTTAAACAGCAAAACAAAGACCCAATTTAAGAGATGAATTATACTCAGGCAAAGATGAAGAATAGGAAACTAATTCTTATAAGAAACAAAATCTGGTTATTATTTTTCTGTGCAACTATATACACAGATGCTGCACAAGCAACTGGGTAGATATTGATGTCATATGCAGAGATGTGAAGAATAATTAAGGATCAGAGGTTGGGTCACAGTGAGGCAAACGTTCTTCATTTGCACTCAAAATACCTAGGGAACATACAGATGGAATTATTTATTTCATTGTTGGTTGCATGATTTTCTAACAGAGACAGGTCTAAAATGAAAATAAGGATTTAGAAGATATAGGTCATTAAGATGATAACTGAAGTTATCAGAGAAAAAGGGATGGCTCAAAAAGAACAAAGAATCAGGAGAGAAAAGCACTATGTAGGGAATTCAAGAGAATACCAAAATTTAAGAGGAAGGTAGAAAAAGAAAGGCAATGAAGGCTAAGAAAGAATTCTGAAATGGTAGAAAGAGAAATTAGAAAGATTAGAGTACTGGAAATTAAGAGAAAAGAGAATTATAAGCATGACTCCTCTAGTTCAAGGTTATAGACCAAGCATATCCCTGCCTTTAAAACCAGTCAGGTAAAATACAAAACCTACTATAAAAGCATGACAAAAGAGGAATACAGAGAAATATCCCAGCAGAAGTCCGGAAAATTTGAACAAATTCTGGAGGATAGAGGATAAGATTGTATTAGATAAGCAAAACAGGACAATGCTGGTCACAATCTAATACAAACACAGAAGAGGGCAGAAGTGGCAGGGAAATGATAAGAGTGTGAAAAGACATCCAAGGTTAAACTGAATAAGACCTAGAACCAAGGGTGTAATAGGAAGAATTATTAACAGAGTAAATTTCCTATTTGAATACAGGTGATATCATTCAAATGTATGAAAAAAAGCTGGACACAAAAATATCATAGGGTAACTAGATGGCCATCTGGGAGAAGCATAATCTATATCTTGTACTACAGAGCAGAATAAAAAGCAAAATGAGGGCACCTGGGTGGCTCAGTAGGTTAAGCATCCAGCTACAGCTCAGGTCATGATCTCATGGTTCATGAGCTTGAGCCCTGCATCAGGCCCTCTGCTGTCGGCATAGAGGCTACTTCAAATCCTCTGTCCTCCTCTCTCTGGCCCTCCCTGGCTCATGCGTGTGCCTTCTCTCTCTCAAAAATAAATAAAACATTTAAAAAAATTAAAATGTATTCAAGATCTTAATGTAAACAATAAAATCAAATTCCAGAAGACTACACAGAACAATTATTTTACAATGTTAGAGTGGGAAACACCCAACTATGACTGAAAATCTGGGAATCATAAATGAAAAAAACTGCTAAATTTGACATAAAAATTAAACACCTTTATGACAAAAAAATCATCAGCAAGGCAAAACTAAAAAAAAACTTAAGGAAAATTGGGCAATTTATAGCACAGAAAAGAGCTATAATGATATATTGGATACAATAATTAAAATCAGCACATCAACGGGAAAACAGGCAAGGGATAAATAGTTCAACAAAAAAGAAACATAGATGAATTACAAACAAACAAAAAAATGTTTCACACCTCACTCATGAGAAGAAAAGGGCTTGTAAAATGAGAGACTGTTAAGATCACATTGGTAAAAATTTAGTAAGCTGAACAGCATGCTCTATTTGCAAGGCTATAAAAAAGAAACACACTCTCAGACTGTTAGCTCTACCTTAAATTACATCCAGAGTTGGACCACTTCAAAGTTACTAACACCCTTATGATCATCATTTCTTGATAGGATTATAGAATAGGTTCCTATATTGTTCCTGCTTCTAGTCTAGAGTCTATCTTCAGATAGTAGACAGTATTATTCTTGTAAACTTAGTCAACACTATCCTTTTGACATAAAAGGATAAAACCCAAACCCTCAAAACCCTCCATTTCACCTAACTAAATGGAAAGAGATACTGTGTTCATGAACTGGAAGGCTCATTACGATCAAGATGTTAATTCTTCCCAAGTTGATCTACATTACAGATTCTATGGTTTCAGAGCAATCAAAATAAAAATCTCAGCAGGTTTTTTTTGAGATAGACAAGCTGATTTTCAAAACTTTCTACAAAGAAGCAAAGGACCTAGAATATCCCAAACAATTTAGAAAAAGAACAAAGTTGGAAGGCTCACATTATCTGATTTGTTCAAGAGTTACTGTAAAGAGACACTCATCAAGACAGTATGGTATTAGCAAAAGGATTAACACAAGTCATCAGAAATGAACAGAGTCCAGAAACAGACTCACACATGCATTACTAATTGGTTTCCCACAGAGATGCCAAGGTAACTCAATGGATAAAGTATATTTTTGTCAAGACAGAATGCTGAGAGGTGGGTATGCAAAGGTAGAGATCACAAATGTGGCAAGTATATGTTCTTCTATTCCCAATATTTAGAGTCTGCTGCCAGCACAAAATATTAAGACCCTCAGACCCTGAAATTCTAGATTTCAGATTGGGCCAACTAGAACATATTTTGTCTTTTTCTGATTAGCAGCGTTTATGCTAAAATAAAATTCAAAAGCTGACCAAAAAAGGAAGTACTGATATAACAGATAAAGATTTTTGAATCCTAAGAGAATACTATTAGTAAGTACATGGAAATACATCTAAAAATGCAAATAAAAATGGACAATTTTCTATGAAAATGTAATGACAAAAATTATATTAAGAAAAAAATACAGGACACCTAGCTGGCTCAGTCGGTTAAGTGTTTGACTCTTGATTTTGGCTCAGGTCATAATCCCAGCGTCATGGAATTGAGCCCCTTCCCTGGGCTCTGTGCTGAGCATGGAGCCTCTTGAGATTTCCTTCTCTCTCTCTCTCTCTCTCTCTCTCTCCCTCTCCCCCTCCCTCCCTCCCTCTGCCCCTCTCCTTGCTCACACACACACTCTCTAAAATTAAAGGGGGGGGAGGGAGCTGCAAGTCTTTAAAAGAAAAAAATACAAATACAAATCCAGTAGAGTGTTATGACTAATAAGTCAATAACCAAACTATCCATACAAAAAAAACCTTCGTAAGGTCCAACTTTATAAGTAAATTTTACAAAATCCTCATGTAATATAATTTTGTCACTTAAGTTACTAGAAAAGAAAAGCAGAAAAGTTCTCCACTTACTTTCATGAGACTATGACCATGATACCATAATTGAACAGAGAAACAAGAAGGTAGAGCCTAAACCAACTTGTGGATACAGAAACAAAAATCCTGAATATAGTATTAGCAAAAACCCTGAGGAAAATATGTAAGAAGCAACTTAGCACACTTGTTAGCAATGAGGGGCTATACAGGAATTCAAGTTAAAATTAGAAAATATATCACACTATTGACAGTATTTCTAGATTAAAGGAAATAAGCTATAGTTTTATTCTAATGCATACACAAAAGGTAATCAATAATTCAGTGCATATTTATGACTAACATGGAATCTTTGCAAACTGGTACATGGAGGGAACTTAACCCTACCCTAACAAAGGTTCCCTACCAAAAGCTGAGGGCAAACTTCACAGTTGATAGTAAAACAGTGTATATTTTTACTCAAGATTGAAGTGACCTATTTCTTTAAAAAAGTTTTTTTTAATGTTTATTATTTATTTTTGAGAGAGACAGACAGAGTGTGAGCAGGGCAGGGGCAGAGAGAGAGGGAGACACAGAATCTGAAGCAGGCTCCAGGCACAGAGCACAGTGTGGGGCTAGAACTCATGAACCATGAGATCATGACCTGAGCAGAAGTAGGACCCTTAACCGACTGAGCCACCCAAGCGCCCTTGTGACCTATTTCTAGTTCTCCTTTTCCGTTTAATGCACCGATCCTTCTAAACCTCATAAATCCAATACTAAGTGGGGAATAAAGGAAGAGCTCACCTGAGGTGTATTCATTTTCTGTGGCTCTTGGGAGAGTGCAGAGAACTGTGGTCCAGCTGAAGGGACAGAAAGAAGACAAGGGTCTTGAGATCTGACCAGTCTTACAGCTCCTACCTTCACTTCCCCAAATCTCAGCACCCCAGTCAAGGATCATCCTCCCCATAGGCATGGGGCCCTCTGGATGTTGAAAAGGCATGAGAAGAAGGATCATGTACAGGCAGTACCACCTGTTTTTGTGTGACTCGGAAATGATCATGGGCTTTATTAAATCTGCAGTTTTATCCTGAGTGAACATAAACTATGATTTAACAATAATGCAGGTGTCCTTCCGACTGACACAAAGAAAATCAACAGATTAGCTGAACTAAAGTACACCAAAGGATGAGACACTACTCTTTCAGTAAAATTAACTTAGTAAATACTCAGCATGCATCATTTACATTATTTTTCTCAGTAATATTATTTACCGCCTGGTATAGATAGACCACAGCAAGCCTACTAAAAGACATGGGCTGCTTCAAGACAGGAAGTTTTGTTTGTTTCGGCTGTGATGTATTTTTCAAAAGTCCCTTTTGATAAGATGTTTTTGGTGACTTATGTATGAAGGGTTAACCGTACTCTTTTCCTTCTCTCTCACAAACTGGGTTTTCCCAGATAAGTCACTCAACCTTTTAGGTTCAATGTCTTTAAAGCTTTCAAAAGAGAAGCAGGTAACTTTGGAAAACACTTCTCTCATTACAACTCTGGGATCCTGTGAGGATAATGTCATTAGTGTCACATGTGGTGATGAACAGGTGTGACAGCAGTGCAACATCTGTAGAGTGGGGGCCATTTAAGGGAAGCAGAATTTTCTCCCTCTGCCTGGTTTAGGGTACCCCCAGACCTTGCCTTCACAAGCTCTCTAAGAAGTGGCCTCTCCTGAGTAGCCCCTGGACCCCCCCAGCTCACCTCACTCTTCTCAAGGCTGCCCTCCCCCTACTGTCACACAGGGTGGTGGCTTCTGAAGGTGATGTCATCACTAAGTGTAGCTTATTCTGCACAAAGGGATCAGGAACTGCTTCTGGCCCTGCAAATCTAGGATCTGCTCCTTTCTGCGCCCTTCTGTCTCTTTGAAGCTCCAGAGAGAGGTCTAAGGTCAGAGGCGTGCTCTCTTCCAGGTAAGACTCCTGTTCACACAGGTGCCCTGCTTCCTACCTTACAAGGGTTTGCTTTGTTTGAAGGCAACTGGGACACGGACCTAAGAAATAATTCATTTGAGGGGCAAAACTCTTGGAACTCATTATAATATCAGACTTTAAAAGACAGCCTTACAATGCAGAAGAAGTCAGGAATCTCTGTCTGACCCAACGGACTTGAAGAGACACTAAAAATCTCAGAATACATTTGACTTATTGTCAGATTCCATCTGCATTCACTTTCCCTTATATCCTTGGGAATTTGGGGACAGGCCACTTTGCTAAGTGCTGTGAAAGCTGCAATGCTGGTTTTAGGCAAATGTGATATTTAGACAATGCCTGAGGTTGGAAGTAAAGCACCCCTGCCCTGGTATCCAAACTTCCTCACAGCTAGTTTGTGACTTGCCCACATCGTTCCACCAAGCTAAGCCTGAGGGTTGTTTTTTTTTTTTTTTTTAAGTGGTTGTGAGGTTACAATAAACCATCCAATGAAAAGAACACAGTGTCTTCTAACTATAAGAGCAGTTGTTATTTAATCAGTGAGTAGTGCTCGGCACTTATCTAAATACTTTATAAGTGATGACTTGGATCTAAGTTTCAAAACAACACCATGGGGCAGTCATATTAATACCATTTTGGATGAGAAACCGGACTCTTAGCCAGATTCCTTCTATCGCCTCTGCTGAAATGTACCCTGGCCTTTTCTGGCTCCGCGGCTCAGGCTCTCACGGCTGACTTACGGTCATCAACAGCGTTATAAACGCACTTTCCTTCCCGCCGCCACTAAGTCGGGCAGCAGGCCGGCCGGACCACACGGTCCCGGCACACCCAGGCCCTTATCGGGCACCTGCTCAGGACCGGGCTCGGCCCTACCGGCGCGCCCCTAGTTCGAAGGCCGGGGTTCTCCAGTCTACGCCCCCACCGGCCTTCCGGCGGTCGAGGGTCGGCCGGGGCGCCTACCAGGGGTATCCCAAAGATTTCCCGCTTCCAACCCTAGACTCAAGCGCACCCCTCCCATGGAGAGCTCCCCTGCACTCTCACCCCAGGTGCGCATCCTTTACTTTCGGAGCAGACCTGGGGGCTCCCAAATCGCTGGCCTGCAGTCCCGAGACGAATGAGAAGGCGGGGCAACGACTGCCATTGCGCAGAAGAGGCCCGAATATTCTTCCCAGAGTGCTGAGCGAAGCCTAAGGATTCAGGACTACATTTCCCATAGATCTCCATGGCCACTTTTGAAGCTACTCTCTTGGTTTCCCGCATTTTAGAAAGCTGGAAGATGGTGTTCTTAATCTCCTGCCCAGGTTCTCTCCGAGGTCAAAGAGGTTAAGGGTGAAGCTTGAATAGAGGGTGCTCCGCTATTGGCGATCGATTGAAGTAGTGTTTTCCCCGTTAGGTTATTTGGAGACAAGCGGGAAATGTGAATATGGATTGGATATTGAAAATATTAAAATGATGGTTACTTAGGTGAAGTGTGAAAAAAAATTGAAGTTATGTAGGAAAATTGATTTTGTAAAGAAAAAAGCCATGAATATTGAGATTTTTTAGGATTGAAATGGTATAGCTGTAAAATTATAATTTTGTAATTTTTCGACCTGGGACTTCCACCCTGTCCCTTTGCTGCCACCAGCCTTGGTGCCCTTAGGAGCTCAGTGTAGAGGTTCTACTGGAGGGTCAAGACAGGTGCTGTACGTGTAGATGTATATAGGAAAGCTGTTGGTTTTTATACATTAGCATTGTTGAATTCTCTTATTGCAACAAATTTTTATGTTATCTTGGATTTCCATGTGCATAGACCAGTTTGCTTGTTCTTGTTGACATTTATAATTCTTTGTCATTCTGTAAGGAATTACAAATAGAAGCATAAACATGCTGCTCAAACTATATTAAAGCAATCAACCATAATTGACTTTGACATAAAATCAATAATTGAGAGAAAGCAGTCACTACATATATTCATGTAAGAAAAATTTATTGCTAATCTGCTGTGCAGGAGACATCATTCTAGATGCTTGGATAGCAAAATCAAATAAAAGAGATCAAATTTCCTATCCCCATGGGCTTTGTGATCAGAATTGTTTTGATCACGAGGAGACTATTAGGTCCCCTCAAGAAAGAGGTGTCAATTGTCAAGAAACAATAAGACCTTGAGAAGAGTTTGATAAACAGGGCTTTTGAAAAACATGGGTAGGGTTGGTAAAGTGTCCTGTAACTAGTGATGATAGGGAGGCATTATCACCACCAGGCCCATAGTGACTATAGGTAATTACCAGAATCTGTCAGAAAAGGCCTCTCTCATGAGAGCTGTGGCCTTATGAAGAGAAATATTATAATGGCCATTACATGGCTCAGCACAGAGAGCCAAAGGAATAAATACCCAAATCTCACTTGTACTCTTCCCTCCAGTGCCCTATCCTCAGTTAAGTATTTATAAACCTCATTCAATACCTATTCCTAGAATTCCATCCACATATATCTTCTCCAGACCTTTTTGTCATCAAATTTCCAGTCTTATTCTTGTCTAGCACCCTCCTACTGAACAATTCATTGAGCTACTGGACATGAATCAATAAAATATCTAAACTCAAGACATATCTCTTCTTCACAAAGTGAGCAACTAAATATACCTACTTAAATTCTGCCCACTGGGAAGATTTATTTTCACCACACATTTCAGAGCTACCCCTAAGTGAGACTGTAATTGCAGAAGCCATATTTTCAATAGTGACACTCTACATTGTAGACTCAGCTTGAAGTAGATTCGACTGGTATATAGCCACAGGTCTCCCTTGGGGACTTTTTGGGAATGATTAATTGTATGTGCTTGTGACTAAGTTATCAGGAATTTTGTCAAAGGGACCCAGTCTGCCCTTCAGTCAAAGCCTCCTGTCTGTAAAGTAGGAGATATCAAGGACTGGGAAAGAGGATTTGAATCCCTGTTGAAATGACTTGTATTAGTTTTCTTCCCATGAGACCCAGAATTTCTTTTTTTTAAAGTTAGTTAGTTAGTTAGTTAGTTTAGAGAAAGAGGCAAACAGAGGGAGAGAGAGAGAATCCCAAGCAGGCTCTACACTGTAGGTACAGCAGAGGCCACCAACACAGGGCCTGCTTTCATGAGCTGTGAGATCAAAACCTGAGCCCAAATCAAGAGTTTGATGCTTATCCAGCTAAGCCACCCAGCTCCCTGCCCCAAGACCCAGAATTTCATATATAGATATATATCTTAAGAAATATCTTAGTAAGATGACCATCTACTTCATTTCAATGGATCAAAGAGCCACCACTGCAGATCCCTTCAGATCACCAAAAAGATGACTTCATATGAGAACTACTCAGAGAGCTTTTGAAAAATATTTGTCAGATTCCCATTACGGAAACACAGGCATATCTCACAGATATAGTGCTTTTGGTTCCAGACTACCACAATAAAGTGAATATTGCAATAAAGTGAATCAAATGAATTTTTTTTGGTTTCCCAATGTATAACACTTATGTTATGTTTATACTATATTGTTGTTTGCTAAATGAGCAATAGCATTGTCTTAAAAAACAATTTACATATCTTAATTTAAAATATTTTATAGCTAAAAAATGCTAACCATCATCTGAACCTTCAGCAACATGTAATCACTGATCACAGATCACCTTAACAAATAGAATAATGAAGTTTGAAATATTGTGAGAATTGCCAAAATGTGACACAGAAGCATGAAGTGAGCAAATGATGTTGTAAAATGGTGCTAATAAATACACTTGCTCAATGCAGGATTGACACAAACCTTCAATTTGTAAACAACACAGTATCTGCAAAGTGCAATAAAGTGCAATAAAATGAATTATGTCTGTATATATTTCATTGGTATGAAATGCACCATGGGATGCTCCTGAGTCCACAGTGAATACACATGTATTGATAAATTTGGCCTTATCCAAAACCAATTCATCCTTCTTGGTCTAATATCCTAGAATCCACCTTTATATATGCCACCTACTTTCTGCTTGTACTATTGAGCAACATCTTGAGTTCGTGTGTGTGTGTTTTACTTTCTGGATTAATCACTTCTCGTTCTGAACACAGCTGGGTTTTTATTCTCACTACAGGCATGGAACCAGCAAGGGAGGTTGTACAGGTAAAGCCTGAGGACAGTGTGCATTCCTTTTCAAGGATATTAGTTCCACCCCTTAGGATTTAGAGAGAAAGAGAAGAGAACCACTGTGAGAAGTCAGTTAACCTCACTTCTTTTTCTCAGCTCCTCACAAACAGTGATTTTAGTAAACCTTAAAAGCTTTGAAATTGCAGAGTGTGCCAAGTACAATGAAATCTGAACTACCCTGTGAGCCTCAAAGGCCTAATTTGCTTTTAATTGTAGTTGTACACCTAAGGCAAAATGTACAGAATAGAGAACAGCTATTCTGACCAACTACTGGTAGATGTTTGACCATATCCTTCTCTGATAATAACTTTGGGCTTCCTGGATATTTGGTAATCTGCCCTAAGTGACATCCACTATACCAGGGATTGGGGGAGAAGGTATAATTACCTGGCATCCATTCCCATATGGGTAGTGATAATTTTATAAATTACATTACAGAACTGTAATGTCTCTCTTGAAATATTTTTGTATTCAAACATCTGAATGAGTACATGACATGATCCATCTATTGAGATCCCAAATATATTGGATCACTTTTTAAACTGTTGAGTCAACTCCATCTTGGACTCTCCTTCTTGATTTCTGTCACTATAGATTTGTTTTGTCCTCTCTAGAGATTCATGCAAAAGGAATCACATAGTGTATACTCTTTTGTGGTGGCTCTTTTTTTAAATCTTAGGGTAATAATTTAGAAGTTCATCTTATAGTTGAATTCTAGCAATGCTGAAACAGACTCACACAGGGAGAAACAACTGCTTATGAGATCAAAAGGTACTCATTGTGCCCAAGGCCTGAATCTGAAGACATGTACTCATTCTGATTTCCTAGTTCTTAGACTTTCCCAACAAATGTTTAAAATTTCATCTAATATCCTTCCACAAATTTTGGATACAATATCAACTGTAATTATTTGAAGAAATAGTGGCCTCAAACTACCCAAAGATGTTAAATAATATTAACTTGCACATCCAAGCTTAATGAACCATAATTAGGACAAATTCAAAGAGATTTATACCTAGACACATCATAGCCAAAGTGTTGAAAGCCACACACACACAGAGAAAAAAAAAATCTTAAAAGAAGCAAGAGAAAAAGAACTTAATGTGTGCAGGATGCATCAATATAGATAATGTCTATGTTCCCATCAGAGAAAAATGAACCTAGAAAGCAGTGGAATGATATAGTCAAAATACTGAAAGACAAACTGCTAATAAAGAATTTTATAGCCAGTGAAACTATCTACCAGTTATGAAGGTAAAATAAAGACATTCCAAAATTTAAAAAGACAGAGAGAACTCCTGATATCAGAACTGATTTATGATAAATACTAAAGAAAATTCTTTAGACTATAGAAGAGAATGACACCAGATGGTAGATCAAATTAACTGGAAGAAATAAAAAGTGTAGATGAACTCAATATCCATGTTAAAAATAAAATAATCTAAATATATTTTCACATTTCTTCTGTTAAATTCTTTAAAATACATAACTTTGTATAAATAAATAATTAAAATACTGTAATATTGGTTTTATAAGGTATACAGATATAATATATATGAAAACAAAGCACAAGAGGGGAAAGGAACATGAGTTATGTTGGAGAAAATATTTTATATTTCATAAGAATCAAATTAACATCAATTTGAAATAAACTATAATGAGTTAAGATGCATATTGTCTCATTCTAGGAAGCCAGCATCACTTTGATTCCTAAGCCAGACAGAGACCCAGAAAAAAAAGAAAGAGAACTACAGGCCAATATCCTTGATGCATAAGGATGCAAAAATCCTCAACAAGATACTTGCAAATAGAATTCAACAGCACATAAAAAGAATTATCCATCATGATCAAGTGGGATTCATTCCTGGGTTACAGGGCTGGTTCAATACTCACATATCAATCAATGTGATACATCACATCAACAAAAGAAAAGATAAAAACCATATGATCCTGTCGATAGATGCAGAAAAAGCAT